TTTTTTTTTTGTGGATTTCACCATATTATTTCTTAACTTGTGACGAGTATCATAATATTAGTCATACAATCATTTAGCAAAATTTATGCAAAATCAAGTGGTCACTAATAGCAATTGAGTGACCACCTTGTATATATGACAATCCTTGTGCCATTATAATTATCATAATTCTTTCAAGGATGTAAACATAGTAATTCATTCATGAAAATATATTTAGGGATTGTAAAGGAACTCACCATTGATTTTCCATTTGACATATCTTCTATCATACATCCCGATGGAAGTTTCCAAGATGGAGAAGAGGAAGCATCTTGTATCTCTTTGATGAAATCATACGATACATTAGCAATTATCCACATGTTTGAATTAAGTTGTCGAAAGTAGCGAATGAAAAAGAACTCTCGAGGTGCCACAAGAGGTGATAGAATGTGCATTTTTTCGTACATCTGTTAATAATATTAATCTTTCATAAAAATCAAAAAAGAAAAAGAAAAAGAAAGCAAATGACTTTAACCAATTGAAAATAGACTTAAAGAGTCACTTACCAAGTACAAAGATCCATCCAAACTTCCTGAATCAATTACTTCTAGGGTCTGAGCATTAGTAACAATGGTAGGAAACATGTCTTTCCATTTATTCTACAAAATCACTAAGTTATATAAGTTAAAATTTTATTATAATAACTGATGTGTGATGGTAAAAGGACAAGTGTCATATTTTACCGAATCAAGAAGCATCTCAATCAAGTTTGTGGTAGCCATTGCCACGATTCCAGAATCTTTGGAAAATTCAATCTGGGAACCAGAGGATTTAAAATGATTTGCCTTGGGAAAAAGCTTGTCACGGCTATCTCGAGTAATTAAATATCTACCATATCTTGGAGACTTGATCCACTCAGGTTCATTTACTTGTAGAAGTTGCACCAATTCATCCATGGCAGCAGCAGCGGTTCCAATAATGATCGACTTCTCCATCTCCTGTATTTCTCTTAATTGGAACTGTGAGGGGATATTTAGTGAACTCTGTGGAATTTGTTCAGGATCAAGAGAAGGGCATCCTGTCCCTCGACCAAAAAATGGTCTTCCAGGAACGCTCATTGAAGTATCAATGCCAAGAGATTCCATTTGTAACAAAGTTGGTAATTCTCCCTTCAAGCTGGAACATGAGTTAAGCATTCGTTCGTGCTGCAAAATGTAACAAAAATGAGTTCACCTCTCTTCTTTCAAGACTTATCTATATTTGGGCAGGTAATAAAGTCGAAGCCTCCCTCCTTTTGTACTACAAAAAATGAGGTAGAGATAATACCAAATTCCCTAGCTAGGAACGCGTGTAATTTTTTTATTTTTTATTTTTATTTATTTATTTTATTTCTTGTAAGGAAATAATCACCTCTTTTTTCAATAAGGCATTTTCCATTCTCAATTTCTGTATATTACATTGCCTCTCTTCTTTTCCAAGACCTAGACCATCACAAGTTGGGCAGATAATGTTATTCAGAGCCTCTTTCATTGCTAAATTCTCACAATACATTCTTTCATTTTCAGATCGAAGGGTGCTATTGTTTGTTCTCTCTTGATGAACCTGAAATATATAAATTGCTCAATGTTAATTATTAGCACAACTGAGAATGAAATGGGAGACAAGAACATATATGTATACATATATATATATATAGCACCTTCGTCTGAGTTCTTTTATTTTGAAACCAAAACATTATCTTATTGAGATCAAGTGATAGTTCCCTGCTCAATTGTCGCCTCTGATTTTCACGTGGATGTGGGCATTCCTTAAAGAACCTGCACAGTTTCCATCAGTCAGGAGCAAAATATTCATGTTTTCTATTGAATAAATAAAAACATAAATCTTTAAATATGAAAATCGAAAACAATTGAACCAACTATTTAATTCAGTACATTTGCAGCTAGAATCAAAATGTTCAATATTAATTGCTGCATCAAGAAAGTTTTAGCCATTACCCATCATCAAAAATATGGAATCTCTTTCACTTTTAGCAACTATAACCAGAAGCTAAATATTCTTCAATAACTAGAAAATGTTAAGTGTATAAAAAAGAACAATCAAAATAGTAACCATTATCTGAATTTGGATTGCTTCAGTTAAAAAAAAAAATAAAAAATAAAAAATAAAAAATAAAATAAAATCATCCATCATAAATAAAGTTTGCTGTATTTTAATCTTACGCTTCAAGCTTCTGTATTTGTTGTGTTGAGAGTCGATGGCATGGCTTCTTGCCTGTTCTAGAGTTCGAGGTCTGTTTATTGCCTGATCCACTTCCTTCATAGCCAGAATCCATTGTTTACAAAGTTTTCTGCTGTCAGAGATAGTCTGGCAATGTGAAAAGTTCAGCAAACGAAAAATGAATATACAAAATGCACATTCATTTGTTATCTGGTCTCAATTTAGATTGTATGAATTCACCTGTCTATCAAATAATAAATTACAAATTAAAAGAATCCAAGAACTCACCTACTTCAGATAACTGAGAAATAGACTCCAAAATATTCTGGGATGTGATTTCCTTTGGTTTGTGTTTGTGGTGTAGCGCATAATACAGCTATATATGGGAAAGAAGAATATGGAGCCAATAGGGGCTTTGCATTGATGTGTAATCAATATTGTTAAAGAGTTTGACTTCTGTGAATCAACTAAGAAAAATATCACCACATTATTGCAGTAATTAAAGTGCGGATACCATAACAGATAAGCACGGTGACAAATGCATATGTAAAACAGAATACACCACGAAAATCATTTTTATTACGCATTCTATCCTTATTTCATTAACTTATAAGGTCAAATCATTAATTAACTTTCAATCACTCTAGACTTGGATATAAAATTCAATAATGTAATCACAATTCATTAAGTATCTGCATTAATGATTAAACCACTAATGATAGATATATACA